ATTCAGGACACGTTCAGGGGATGTTTAAAACATTTTTAGGACATATTCAGGACACGTTCAGGGGATGTTTAAAACATTTTAAGGACATATTCAGGACACATTTGGAGGATGCTCTGCTCTGGTTGTTTTCAGTTTTAGAAACGTTCATCTTCACAGAATGATGTGAAAATGGGCTCAGAGGATCTAGATCTCACTTCAGGACTTCAGGTTTTTTTCATGTCTTGGTTCAGTCTGATCTCCACCTGCCTCCTGTCCTGTTTTGATGTCCTCAGAGTCTCAGATGTTCATCAGCATCAGAACCTCTGTTTGTCTTTTAGTCATGTTTTTAATTCATGTTTTTCTACAGAGAACCACAGAACTACCTCCAACTGGTTTCACTCTGTTCAATCAGTTTTAATAAAGTCTGAACAAAAATACAACTCGTTATTTTTCTTTCAGGAAAAATATTATCTGAGACGTTTACAGAATACGACAAAGAAAAAGCATCTGAGTTCTGTCCTGAAAATTTCTGCTGTAGATCTAAATCCGACTATTCTGCAACAAATGACACAACCTGGGCATTTATTTAAAAATTTGATTTTGTCAGTTTGTCAAAATCACTTTTGACAGTTTGAACTGTTAGCCATTGAAAAGATCTTAGTTTAGGAGAATAAATTAAACAAGTAGACAAGTTTCAATAACAGTTTGAGGCTGGGTTTATATGAGAATAAATGTGATGTTTTAGCATATTTCACTCGACAACTCTTTGTTCTTAGAGAAGTTAAAAAAGTTGATCAAACTAAATATTTCTGGGGTTTTGTTATTAACCTGGTAAAATGTTGTTGTAAATATGCATATATATTTAAGTTTTATTCATTTCTTTAAAAAACAACATTAATTCAATATACAACAAACATACAAATCAAATTAAAGAAAAGGTAGCAGAAGAAGAAATAAAGTACATAAAAGTTTATCGTGACGCCACAGAAGCGGAATCTTTTTGCACCGGAAGTTTCTGTTCCACCCGGAGCAGAATAAAGACGCTCCTCTAGTTTTATGTCCTGTTTCTGTAAACTGAACTCCTGTTTGTTTGTTTATTTGCTCTTATTTATTAATTTATTTGCTTTTCTCCGGGTTTCTCGGAGGCGGTTCTGTCGGTACCGGAGCTCCGGGTGTAGCTGCCGCTCCTCCAGGAGCTCCACGGTTCTCCAGTCGCCGGGTGACGGTCAGCGCGAAGCCCGGTCAGGGGATGTGTTCCTCCGCGGTCATGCACACCCAGCTCGCCGCCGTCATGGAGGCTCTGGTCCACTCTGCGGTGGCGGAGCTAAATAAGCTGCTGGAAGACGGTCCGGTGTTCGAGAGGAGCGGGGACGCAGGGGAAGAGCAGCCTGGGACGGACAGAGGGCGAGCGGAGACCCGGGAGAAGATGGTGAGGAGGAGCGGGCTACCGCCTGGTGTTGTGTCGAGTTTTGTTTCCTGTCGGAACAGGGACTGACAACTTTAAACACTACCTAAATGTGTGGGTGAGAGGATGAATGGTTGTTTGTCTAAATGTGTCTCTGAATGGACTCGAGACGTGTCCAGATGAAAACCCACGCAAGCATTAGGAGGACGTGCAATGTGTTATTCACGAGCGATTCGTTCAAATGATTCGTTCATTTAAGTCAACGAACTGAATCAAATCACTTCATTAACTCAAAGGACACATTCAGAGGTTATTTAGAACACCAACTATACTAGATTATATTCTATAATATTATCTTTTAATCAAACATTAAAACAGTATTATGTTTTAATAATACTGTTTTAAAAATACAGATATGGTTAAAACTGAAATAACAATCATTTAAAGCATTGTTAACTGTATTTTGCACTTATAGTCTTACAAAAGCACTGTAATTATACACTCACTGGCCACTTTATTTGGTACACCTGTCCAACTGCTCATTAACACTTAATTTCTAATCAGCCAATCACATGGCGGCAACTCAGTGCATTTAGGCATGTAGACATGGTCAAGACAATCTCCTGCAGTTCAAACC